AAATCTAGGTTTGGTGACTTTTTTCTAAAGGAGTAAAAGAGGTTTCTGACTGCTTGGGTTGGGGACAATTCAACCTTTCCAGGCTCTGAAGAACGGGAACTGCCGAAAGGTCAGCTGTCAAATAAAGATTACTGTAACACCTCGTGTTTGGGTTAGAAAAGGAAAATCAGGAATCATAGGGAAAAGGAATTACAAGGTAGTACGATCAATAAACCACGAATCTTCGTCTTTGAGTTATCCCGCCCGATTAGTCGCGAAGGCAAGTGGCGCGTCCCCAGGCGCAGATTACGGAATAAACGCGAACCAAAAGCGACGGTGTGTTCCTCGGATACGCAGGTGGATTCAGAGAATGAGCTCCCTTCTTCTGCAGCGCAGTCTTGAAAGCACTCTATTTCTACGAGCCAAGTCGGCCAAAAGCCGCAATCAAGCTGCTTGGAGGAACATGGGAGGCGGTTACGAGACGCCTCCAGCATGTAAGTTCCTCTCGGTTCTCCGAGAGAGATTGGCAAGCTACAAAAACGTGAGTATTCAGTTTCTACGTTTATAGCCTGGAAAGCTATAGAAACAGTAACAAATATGGGCCTTATTCCCCCTGACCCGAAGAAACCCTGGTAGGCAGCCAGGACGATTGCGGAGAGGCTGCTGAAATTTCAGGGCCAAACTAGGCTGCCAAAATGCACCTATAATGGAAGAACACTAGTTCACGAATCCAGTGTAGAAGATCTATTGATTCAAACAAGGAGAATAAGGTGCGACGTCATTGGCCTTTTTGAGACGAGAAGGCGCCACGATTTTCACCCTGTTTATGACACCGGGGAAGAACTGTTCCTTGGAACATGCGACAGCAGAGGTATCGGCGGAGTTGGCGTCTTCGTCAAATCGAATTTGACCTTGAACATCAATCCGTTTAAACAACCCACAACCTGTATCGGACGATTGCGTTTGGAACGACGTGGATCTGTGCCGGCTTTTATCATCCTTGTTGCTTACGCGCGAACATCAAGCTATGACGCAAACAAAGTCGAAGCGTTCTATATGGACCTCGAAATAATTCTTCAGAGAAGACATACATTCTTCGAGGCCATTGTCGGAGATTTTGACGTGAAAGATGGATTTGGAGAAACGTCTGAAGAGCGTCACAATGGGACTCGCGAACTAGAATGGAATGAACACGGTGAGAGGCTATCTGAGTTTATCATGACGACTCAAACCCTTCACGGTAGCTCACAATTCCATGGGCCTCACTCTCAGCGATGAACGTGGGTGTCTCCCATTGGAGAGTACGTAACGAAAAAGACCACATCGTAGTGAATCAAAGGTTTTGCCTAACCATATCTATGTTGTACTTGAGTTCTACACGGGAGCAGTCCCTCGCCTCCTTCAAGCAATGTTTCGTTTTTCGCAAAAGGGGGAGAAAGCCGCTAAATTGTAATTAAAATGTTCCAGAACTACCACGAACTGGGATGTGTCTAAATCACTGGTTTGGTTCCGGGAAGATAACGTTATTGACAACATCGGCGAAGAATACGATTATCTCTTTAAATATCTTCACGTTAGCACTGTGAAAGCCAAGAGTCTTAGAGTCACAAAGAGACGCTTGTCTCCGTAGACACTCGAGCTGTTACGTCAACGTGGATTCGCACAAACTACAGGTAACCGAACCCCTACGTTCGATCCTTCGAAGCGTTCCAGAGAAGCAATAAGAGGAGACGTCAAAGAGAGACGAGCAGCAGTTATGGCAAAAGTTGCAGAAGCTGGGAAGAGCATTCGCAAAGCACAGCGAGACTTTGCGAATTATAAGATCAAGATGAATGTACTCCGATGCTCTCACTGTACACTTACAGCTTTCAGAAGGGCAATGGCGGAAATCCTCCACCAGTACTACTTGGATCTCTCTGTTAGCCATGCCCTCTTACCGTCACATGAATTGAAAGAGGTTGAATTTATCGTCCCAACGGTCCTTTCTTCCGAAATCCGACGTGCTTTATCGTGGATGAAGAATGGATCAACACCCGGTTTAGAGAGGATTAGACCAGAACACCTGAAGAGCCTGGCGCCAATTCTCATCAATACACTGATCGGCTCTTCACTCGTTACCTGTCAGAATGCAAGGTCCCCATTCGATGGAAAACCAGCAAGACCGCATTGTTCAAAAAAAGTAGACCTTAAGGATATTATAAGCAATTATCGCCCAATCTGCTTGCTGTCCGTTGTCTATAAACTCTGCATTCGAGTCATCCTTAACAGAATTGATAGAACACTGGACGAAGGACATCCATGTGAGTAAGCAGGATCCCGAAAAGGATTTAATACCATGGACCGCATACACACAATTTCAAGACTCATTGCAGTTTTACGAGAGCTACAAACAATCACTTTGTCTCACTCTCATCGATCTGAAAAAGTCCTTCATTCAGTGGAAACAGAAGCGGTTGTAGAGGCTCTGGATAACCAGGGTGTCCCTGTTTAGTACATAATGATCCTATATAAAGATTTCACGACCAAAATATCGCCATTCTATAACAATATTACCATTGGCGCAAGAAGAGGGTTATGGCAAGGCCATACAGCTTCGCCAAAAATACACGCTGCCACCCTACAAATCGTCATGCGAACATTAGAATGAGACGAAATGGGAGTGAAAATTGACGGTCGACAATCCAACCATCTTCGCTTTGCTGACGATATCGTTCTCATGAACACCAAACATCAGCCAAGCGGAACGAATGTTGATCGAATTTGATGAAGCCTGTGGAAAGATTGGTCTTCAACTGAATCTAATGAAAATTATGTTTATAAGGAACGGATGAGTTTCTAATGTCCCATTCACGCTCAGCGGACCGAAAATCTCCGAATGCTCCAGTTACGTCTACCAAGGTCGTGAAATCAGCATGATGAATTACCTAGCTCCACAGTTGAGCAGGAGGACACGAGCCGCTTGGGGAACTTTTAAGAGCATAGAAGATGTAGTGAAGAGGACAAGGAACATTCGACTCCGTGCCCACCTTTTCGACTCGACGATTGACCCTGTCCTAACGTATGCAATAGAAATGTGGTAGCTTTGTAAGCTGGATGAAAGTTCACTTGGCGTTATTGAACGCGCAGTCGAAAGGTCGATTCTAGGAGTATCCCGTATCTCGCAAATGATAGAAAGGATCAAAAGATCCGACCTGCGTCATCGATCGAATATCAGAGGCACCTTTGAACACTCAAGATATCGAAAATAAGGTGGGCCGGACACGTGATGCGCTTCAACGACAACCGATGGACGAGAGCCGTTACAGACAGGATTCCTCGGGACGTCAAGATCTCTACAGGAAAACCACCGACCCGTTGTTCTGATTTCTTCACGAAAGTATAGAAGGAAAATATGTTGCTTAGTGAATTCCTAAAACGAGGAGGACCTACTGGGCTACTCTTATACGCGATAGGGAAAAATGGAAGTATTGCTGGTACCCGCTCGAGTGACTCGATGATCAACGGCACGACAGGTAATGCGATCAATCAAGACAATCAACAAATAGTAAGTTTCCACCAGGAACATCTCTACTTAGTGGTTGGTCTTTTAGATCATATTTATAGGACTTTTGATTAAACAACCACTGAGATCTGCTTGACTTATAGGATTAGGCAATGAAGATTGAAAAACTGACATGCTTTCCATGAAAACACGTACTTTTGACAAATAAAACGAAATAACCAGAGAAATATGCTTTGATTAGCAGAGTCTTCAACTTTCTTTTTTCACCTTTCAAATTTCAGGCCGGAAAGCAATCACCTGAATAACTTATCGCTAATAAATTTTTTCACAAAAGAAAGAGATCCGAAAAATCAAAAGATAGACCGATCACTGTTTTCAATGTTTTCATGTAGTAAGCGAAAGCGGCGTACCAAGCCGTTGTGATGCTCGTCGCGGCGCTAGTGATAGAACCCCCACCCTAACACTCTCCGGCAGTCAAAAGCGAATGTCCTACAAAACGCCACAGCCAGGATGTCCTCGAAGTTGCAGGGAGAACTTGTCAACCAGTATTAAACATGTTCAAGAGGAAGGCGAAAACACGATTGAATGCTAGAAGAACTGCGATTCGTACAGCAAAAAAAAGGCATCGTGAAAGCAGATCAGTAAAGTGCTAAAAGGTTACGGGGTCACCACACAACCATCACGCAAAGATACAAAAGCGAATTGTGCGCTTTATCGGAGAAAGAGTGATAGTAGATCATGAACCTCAGTGGTGTAATAGCTAGCATGCGTCCACAGTAAGTGAGACAGACGTGTCAAGCTCCTGATCGAGGTTCAAAAATTTGCTTTCAGTCAACATTCTTGACTATTTGAAAACAAGATATCTTTAAACCATGCGTTTTCCAAGGTTATATAGCTAAGAGATAGAAGGTAAGATGCTCTTGTCATTGATCAAGTTTGAGGAATGGGAACTGATTCTCTTCATTTAGCATCGTATTAGAGACTAGATGCAGATTTGGCCTTTACAATGGCTCACGGTGACCTACAAATGTATCAGATCAGTCCTGCTATCCTCTCAGATGAGATTGGTAGCAATAAGCTAGGTCCGAACTGATGAAAGGCTTGGCGAGTATGGAGAGCGGGGACAAACTATAGATCACGTGTGCGTCGCCCCATTGCTCCGCACCCGCGATGCACATCATGCAATAAAAACAAGAGTTAAGAAAAATATCAAGTGGGTCCAAAGACGCTACCTGATATGCAACGCTCTGCACCTCTGGTAGGTTCTGCATCCGCATTCTAACCACACTGGGAGTGCGGTGCTCCCTGTGCACAGTCGGAAACCACCCATGGCTCTGCAATCACTCTACTAGCCTCCTAACATCGCTATATGGGAAGTAAAATAAAAAGATTTTCGTAGATTATGTTTCTAATGAATCTAAAAACGAAAGAAAAGCAGTCTGTTCGACTAGGCTAAACCGTTGATGGTAGATTGCTGACATATTGATGCTTTGTAGCGCAGAAAGAGTGGTAAGAAAGAGGCATCGATAGTGCAAATGGTTGAGCACACACCTCCGAAAAGGGTGAGATGCAGGTTCAACTCTCGCCTGAAGTCAAAGTTTTGACGTCACTCAGCATCATTGCGTATATCCGTAACATCATGCTATCGCTAGAAACGGTCAAAAAAACATTCTTTTCCATTCTTTGAATATGTTTCGAAAGATTTGCTAAAAGCTCTCAGAAACTGCGAGGCACCAGGTGGAAAAGAAAACCTCATAACATGTACTGAAGTGGGCTCACGTTTTCGACTAAATCAAGAGCGCTGTGGATAGCATCAGCGTCGTCTTCTATCTTTTCATGCAATTTCTCATGCGGTTAGAAACGACTCCAGAACTCAACCACTAGCTTCTCAATAAGTTTGCGCGCCACTCTCTTCACTGTCGTTCAAAATGTTGACGTCAGTCAACTTTTTAAAAAGCGATCTAGTGCTTCAAGCGGCTGACAAACACGTAAGTAATTCACAATGGCATAGGGTACCTAAAACGATTTCACGGTACCGTAGAGAATGTGTAAATTTTCATGAGTAAGTAGACGAAGCACATTAGACGGGCGTCTGGTATCCTCGACATTTACAGAATTCTGGCTGAGTAGCCAAATTTTCTGAAGGGATTCTACATTCAAATTGAGTGTTTTTCAAATCAAAAGCAGCAGAGTAGGCCCTAGTTGTACTGCAATGTCAAGTTATAATTCTGAGCCCATGAAGTTCTTTGCATCCTCGCAAGTTTCCGTTCGCATCTCTCATTTTTTCATAATCTTTTTTCCTAGCTGCATTCAAAGCAAAAATCAACTGCTATACAAATTTCAGACAGGAGTGAAAATGAAAAACACATTTGCAAAGGATTTTGTGTTCTTGCTTAAGTAAAGAGGTAGAAATAGTTATGACGAATCTTCAAAAAAGGGGAACTTTCAAGCAAAGATTCGGACATATCCGGAAGATTGCATCAGAAAATTCTTGAGTGAAAGTAATATAATTTTTCATCAGTATTATGACAGAATGAAGAACAATGAAGAACAGCAATTTGAATGCTTTCGCTGTTTCCGAAAAGGCCTTTCTAATTCGCTGTAGATGCGAAAGTCGGATTAAATTGCACATTTGGCATGAGTTACTTACACGGATGCGCTCTGTGGACGAATTTTCACTCGACTTTTTTCAGTTATTTGAAAGCCTAAATCTCGACAGTTTTGAACCAGAAATATTTTTTACAGAAGCGTTTACTGAGTTTTTTAAGAGCTCAAAGAAGATCCCGTTTCACAGCCGATGTGTCTTATCCTTCGTATGAACTTCATAGGAGATTTATTTGCTAATATAAAAACGAAATAAAGCCATCTATCTATACCATACCCGTACCCGTAAAGCGATATAGCGAATATTTTTCTACAAGTCTCGTACGAGAAACCCTGACATTGTCTTGAAAGACGTAAAAATTTTTTAAAAGATAGCTCACATCGCGCCCTTTCTACGCAGCAGTTGAAATTGCTCCGCGGAGAGCTTCGTGAGAGCTGCGCGATTTTGCTGCTCAGTTAGGATTTTCAGGGGGAAACGAGGAGTTTTCTACAAGAAGTTAGAGATGTCCACAAATAACAGTCTTTTACAATTTTGCTAATATCAGAAGGTTGACGAATATAATTTTTTTGGTTGAAGTTTCGACGTTTTCGCACTTTTCAAAGCCGATGATTCGACTCGAGCTGCAAAGAAGAATAAATTTCACAGCAAAGACGAACGACTATGGGCAACTGGCTCGAATCATCGGCTTTGAAGAAGACGAAGACGTTAAAAGCTTAGCCCATTCAAGCTTTCCACAAACCTCATGGCATTAACTAAATCACAGTGGAAACTACTATACATCAACAACCACCTGGTCACTTTATCTGACTCCTATCACAGTTTATGCAGGTCCTAACCCTTCTGGCATACTATTCGTCTCTTTGTTTGCTTTTATTTGGGAATTTCATCTTCCTACAAATGTCGTGGAATGTTGGTCAATCACATCTCCTTGCAGTATCGACGCCAAGCAGGAGTGCTTCGTGAATTGTCGTGATGATAGCTGGAAAGCGTTGGGAAAAGGTGGAGTATCAAACCGGTGTCAAGCCACACCGAGCATCATTAGCCATTCGGCTGCAGGACTCATTGAAGTAACGCTGAGGAAAACTCTGGTTTTCAGTGTATTTTTGCAACTATTAAGAATCACAAAAAATGCAGGCAATAGACTTCTCAGGGTGAGCTGTGACTACAATCTTAACGCATGTGATGAAATAACTGAGATATACATACCTGAAACGTGAATTTTCTGATATGAATACCGTTGATGGTGACGAGCTGAGCTGAGCTGAGCCGAGCGTTGTGCAAATGCTGCCCAAATGTCTTCAAGGTTCGCATGCACCGGATCCACCATAGTTGGATGCTGAACTTGTGACAATGCTGGACATGCCATTTGTCAAGATTTCGAAAAGATTGGCCACATAGTATAACATCGAAGAAGCTCCAACGGGCTTGGCTTTTCAAAGCGTTGCCCTACCGCGGAGTAACTATTGCACTTCGTGCTCGGAGATACACACACCAGAAGAATGTGATCGTGCAGATAAATTTGTGCTGTATCAAAATGTCAGAATAAGACTTTACAAAATCTACAAAATTCCTAAAGTAGAACGAGAATTCTGACCAAGTAGCAAAATTGTACAGCTCTCACGAAGCGCTCCGAGGAGCGACTTCAATTGTCGCGTCAAAAGGGCGCGATCTTCGTTATTTTTTGAAGAATTTTATTTTTACTTCAAGAGAGTGTCTCGGCTTTTCGAAACTTTGGCTCTATCTCTTTATGGGTATTTGGCTTTCTTTCAATTTTATATTGCCAAATGAACCTTCTGTGAAGTTCACACGAATTACCAGCCGATTTGTTTGTGAAACGTGACCTTTCTGCGCTCTTGTAGAGCCCAATAAAGGCTTTTGATGAGAACAATTTTTGCGTTAAAACTGTCGAGATTTAGGCTACACAACAGCCAAAGAGAGTCGAATAAAAACTTGTCCATAGACGTCGTCAAGCAGCTAAGTTAAATCAAAGATGAGATATAATCTGATTTTCCAGCTATCACCTGTATCACCTGTCGTCCCGTTGATCGTCGAGTGACTCGAGCGGGTACCAGCAACTATTCCATTTTTCCCTATCGCGTGCAAGAGTAGCCCAGTGGGACCTCCTTGCTCTAGGAATTCGCTGAGCATCATATCTTTCTTCCATCGCTTTCGTGAAGAAATCGGACCAACGGGTCAGTGGTCTTCCTTTAGAGCGCTTGACGTCCCGAGGAATCCAGTCGGTAACGGCTCTCGTCCATCGGTTGTCGTTGAAGCGCATCACGTGTCCGGCCCACCTTATTTTCGATATCCTGGCGTGTAGAACGGCGTCTCTGATTTTCGATCGTTGACGTAGGTCGGAAGTTCGGATCCTTTGTCTCATTTGCGAAATACGAGATACTCCTAGCATCGACCTTTCGACTGCGCGTTCGATAACGGCAAGTGATCTTTCATCCTGCTTACGTAGCGACCAGGTTTCTGCTGCATACGTTAGGGCAGGGATAATTGTCGAGTCGAAAAGGTGGGCACGGAGTCGGATGTTCTTTGTCCTCTTCACTACATCTTCGATGCTCTTAAACGTTCCCCAAGCCGCTCGTTTCCTCCTGCTCAACTCTGGGGCTAGGTCGTTCATCATGTTGATTTCACGACCTAGATAGATGTAACTGGAGCATTCGGAAATTGTCGTTCCGTTGAGCGTGAATGGGGCATTAGAAACCCATCCGTTCCTCATGAACATTGTTTTCGTTAGATTCAGTTGAAGACCGATCTTTCCACAGGCGTTATCGAAATCAGTCAACATTCGTTCCGCTTGGCTGATGTTTGGTGTTATGAGAACGATATCGTCAGCAAAGCGAAGATGGTTTAATTGTCGACCGTCAATTTTCACTCCCATTTCGTCCCATTCTAATGTTCGCATGACGTTTTGTAGGGTGGCAGTGAATAGTTTTGGCGATATTGTATCGCCTTGTCGAACCCCTCTTCTTACGTCAATGGTGATATTGTTGTAGAATGGAGATATTCTGGTCGTGAAATCTTTATAAAGCTCACGAAGGATCATTATGTACCGAGTAGGGACGCCCTGGTTATCCAGAGCCTCTATAACCGCTTCTGTTTCCACTGAATCAAAGGCTTTTTTCAGATCGATAAAAGTGAGACAGAGTGGTTGTTTGTACTCTCGCGAAACTTCAATGAGTCTTGTGATCGTGTGGATGTGGTCCATGGTACTAAATCCTTTTCTGAACCCTGCTTGTTCGCATGGCTGTCCTTCGTCCAGTGTTCTGTCAATCCTGTTCAGGATGACTCGAGTAAAGAGTTTATAGACAACGGACAGCAAGCAGATTGGGCGATAATTGCCTATGTCGTGAAGGTCTCCCTTTTTGAACAACAATACGGTCTTGCTGGTTTTCCATTGAATAGGGACCTTGCATTTTGACAGGTAGCGAGTGAAGAGCCGAGCCACGGTGTTGATGAGAACTGGCGGCAGGTTCTTCAGGTGTTCTGGTCTAATCCTGTCTGGACCGGGTGTTGTTCTGTTTTTCACCGACGATATAGCATGTCGGATTTCGGAAGGAAGGACCGGTGGAACGACATATTCGTCCTCTTTCAATTTATATGACGGTAAGAGAACATGGCTAGCGAAGAGATCCGAGTAGTACTGGTGGATGATTTTCTCCATAGCCCTTCTGGAAGCTGTAAGTGTCCCGTCAGGGTATCGGAGTGCAATCATCTTGGTCTTATAGTTGGCGAAGCCTCGCTGGGCTTTGCGAATGCTCTTCCCAGCTTCTGCAGCTTCTGCCATAACTGCTGCTCTTCTCTCTTTAAGGTCTTCTTTTATCGCTTCTCTGCATCGTTTCGCAAGTTCGGACGTAAGCTTTCGGTTGCCTGCGGCTCGTGCGATTCCACGTTGACGTATCAGCTCGAGTGTCTGCGGAGACAAGCGTCTCTTCGTGGCCTTAGGACTTTCGGCTTTTTTAGCGCCAACGTGAAGATATT